TCGGCATGGGTGTTGATATCACTCAGGACTAATAGCCTAGGGTGTTCCAACGCCCAGCCTGACACGGCCTCCACCAGAGATGGCAGGCTGTCCGCCGGTGTGTTGGGTGGACAGTACACTAGCCAGACAGCCAAACTCTCCCCGGCTTCCCACACAAAGCCGGCACACTCAATGCCTGCGATTCTTACCGCTGGGAGCGCCCTGAAGGAGTAAGCCTCCGGAATGAACAAAGCCACTCCTACCCCCGCCCCAAAGTCCGAGATTGGTGAAGGACTGAGAACCCAGGAGGAGCCAACTGGGAGAGAGCAACCGTCCCCCCGTCTTGTACCCAGGTCTCGGTCACGCATGCTAGATCCACATCCTGCTCCAGCAGGAAGTCCCGCAAGACTGAGGTCTTATTGTTTATGGACCTGGCGTTGCACAACACCAATTTCGGAGAGGAGTTTTTTATCCTTGCCCCACTGTCTGCCACCTTTGGGATGGGACACAGGCTGGAAGGTGGCTGAGCTTCTCCATTTCTCTGCCTCCTTCCCTTCCATCTCCGCCTGGTCCCACCGCTATACCTTCCCCTTCCCGAGAGCACTGGAATTCCCTGCCCATAATTCCCTGCTTGGCTTTCATTAGCAAGAGAAATTGAAACATTAGCATATGGTGGCAATAAGTTCCTAAAGTCTGGTGCTGCCTCTGGAAAGTCACTCCTGGCTTCTCTCAGCAGCAGGTGCAACATTATCTGAAGACTGTTATTGGCTCGGGGTGGGAAATGAAGAATGTGTTTGCCTCAGGCTTGGCTTTTGAATCTCCTGGTTTTCCTCCCTCCCTTTAGTAGCTCTGCAGTTTGATTTCTGCTTTGGTAACACACTGGGGAAGACTGTGGGTTCTTTCTATTCTCATAGGGAAAGGGTAAGGCATGGAGGTATGACATTTGTTCCACTGTTCCACAGATTTCTGCTTTGGTAACACACTGGGGAAGACTGGGGGTTCTTTCTACTCTCATAGGGAAAGGGTAAAGCATGGAGGTATGACACTTGTTCCACTTGTTCCACTGCATGCACTGGTTTCTCTGATCCACTTCAAGTGACAGAAGTGAATGGAACCAAATAAATTATTCAGTAGAAATAAGCCATCATTCCTGGGGACACTGTTGCAGTAGTGCAAAAAACCACCCCTAAATTGGAATTTGGGCAAGTTGGCATCATCTGGTAGAGATCCCATTAGGTATCCAGGTTATATATTTTTGCCCCCCCCCCCCTGACTCCTTCAGTGACCTTCTACCCGGATGGGCATTTTGCTAGTATGCAGAACAGTATGCTGTGTTCTTCAGGGAGCTCTGCATCAAAGATAGTAAAAATAATCTAATGCTTCATTGAGCAATAATTTGTGCTTTTGTACGAAAGCTGCATTATATTGCCTGTAATGAAGAGGTAAAATTGGATCTGCCTCCCTCTTCAGTTCTGCTGTTTTCCTGATAGTTGCACCAGTTCACCTAGGCAAGCTTGACATCCTTACAATCTGCATTGTTTGCTGAAGTTATGCTGAACAGTCTCTTTCCCACAAATGCCACATTTGGTGCATTCAAGAATAAAGAAACCTGATTCACTCCTACTTCCTTCTGAGAATTTCAACTGCCTGGATAAAGCAGGTTGAAATGAGAACTAAATGTCAATAGGAAAGACAGATGTTTCCTGGCTCTTATGCAAAGGCTCTGCTAATAAATAGGCAAAGTAACGAAGTCGAGGCTCGGCAATGAATAAATGCAAGAGGGTTGCAAGTGCCTAACTTTTGCTAAGGTTTGTTCTGGGAAGTACCTTCTTCTACGTGTGTGTGTGTGTGTGTGTGTGTGTGTGTGTGTGTGTGGATAGATAGATAGATAGATAGATAGATAGATAGATAGATAGATAGATAGATAGATAGATAGATAGATAGATAGATAGATAGATTAAAAGCATTCTGCTCCTCTGCAGAAACTGGTAAGATTATAAATCACTGGTGTGATTTCAGGTATCAGTTAGACTTTGATTTATGGAATATCAGATCACATTTTATTGCAGAAGAGAGGACTGCATTGTGGTTGCTTGTTAAAGTATTTAATTGATCCTGCATGAATGCTGATTTTGCCCTCCCTCTCTGCTCAGAAGTCTGAAAACGCATTAAGTAAAACTGTAAACTTTGGATTGCATCAGAGATATGCAGCCATGCTATGTTTCCCCCTCCCCACCATGTGAAAGTAAATTTGATCTGTTACATGTAATCCAGGTAGAACATGAATGAAAAACATTTGAAGGTGGGAAAATTGAGGGGGGGGGGACAAAACCAGAAAAGGACAAAACAGTCTAGCCTCAGAATCCCATGCATACACCTCAACATCTCAGTGGCTAAAGCTCAGTGAACTGATAGCGGATTTAACCCCTTAGGAAACTGCCTTAGCCCTGTCAGCCAGCAGAGAGCTCCTTATAACATTATTTATTGCTTCAAGGATCCATCCTCTGCCCTTATTTCCACAACCTCTCACTGACTGTTTCCATCTCAATATGGGTAAAAAAGGAGTAGAAATTCATTGACTTTCACATGGCACTTCTCAGTGTGAGACTTCGGAATTGTAATTGGTTTCTGTCTGAGTGGATGCCAAGAGGTGTTAGAAATCCATAGTGTGTCATGATCCTAATCATGTAATGCTATTACATATACCCATGCACTTCTGGGAGACCCACATAGAAGATAATATAATGGAAGCCAAAACTTGACTTTTATTTACTATAGACAGAGTTCCCTGAATTAGAAAGAAACAAAAATGGGGAGGGACATAAAAGGGGGAGGGGGGACTAAGGATGGCTGTACTAGTTCAGAAAAAGGGTCTGTCCCTGTTTCTAACACTAGCTAGTCAGATACTTCTGAGAAGTCCACAGGCAGGATACTAGTGCATCCATGACCACTGTGCCCTTAATTGTTTGCCCCCCAGCAACTAATTGTCCATACTGTTTCTGAACCTGGAAATTCCATTTTTTCATGCCAGCCTCCAGGTGGGGCTTGGGGATCCCCCAGAATTACAGCTCACCTCCAGACTTACAGAGATCAGTTCCTCTGAAGAAAATGGATGCTTTGCAGGGTGGACTGTGGCATTGTACCCCACTGAGGTCCTCCCCAGGCTCCATCCCCAGATCTCCAGAACTTCCCAACCTGGATCTGTCAGTTCTAACCCCCATCCCCTGCTGCTGGCCGGGGGGGACCTGGCAACCCTATTGCTAGTAGCTGTTGCTAAAACTATCAATTAATTTATTTAATTTCAGATCTTCCAAGTATCTTATGAAGGTTCTTTAGACTGTGGGTCTGACTGGCTTGCCCTTTATCTACTCCAACTAGCAGTGGCTCTCTGAGGGCCAAAATGAATAATACTTGGGACACAGATGCCCGACACAATTTTGTTGTCACACATAGGATTGGTATAACTCACTTTGGAAGCATTGTGTTTCCCTGTGTAGCTCCAAATGCTGCAAGGGGAGGGGCTTCAGGCTTCTCAGGTGGTGTATTTGCCCCTTGCTGAGGCTCCACGTGCCCTGGGATAAACATTTGGAACCTGAGGAAGGGGCAAACAGGCCACCCCTGGACGTTTCTGGTGGTGAACACAGCAGGAGAAGCCTGAAGCCCCTCCTCCTCCCACACACAGCATTTGGAACCTCACGGAGCAACATAACACTCTCAAAGTGATTCACACTTATCCTATGTGTGACAACGATTCAGGTCAGGCACCCATGTTGCTCATATCATGTTTTTTGGCCATGAGATCGCAGCCAGGGGTCTTTCCCAGCTTTGTTGCCTACATCCATTAATTGAAAATGTTGGGGGGTTGCATTTGGGACCTCATGGTTGCAAAACATATTCTGCCAGTGAGTTGTGACCCCTCCCCTAATGTCACAATAGTTTCAAGTACTGTATTAATAATATGATGTTGAAAATCTATTAGTGCTCTTCAGCAGTATTAAATTCTTGCACTGGGACTTCAAAGCAACCTTTCATGTTTTCTGGCCATGCTGGTACTTCCAACCTTGAGTTTAAAGAAAATGATGTAGCATTCATTTTCAAACCCTTGAGAGTTGTACAGCGAATAACAAAAGATTTCTATGTAGACCTTCAACTGTGAACTACACCATCTGTATTTATGCCTCTCAGTCTAGTGCTTTATGGCACTATTTATTAGGAATTATGCAAACTATTATGCTCTTTTCATGTAAACCAGAAAAACTGCTATGGAGGGAAGTGTTTAAATGGTTCAAAATTTGCCGTGTATTTGTGGGTTCATGACAGAAGCCACTAGATTCAAATATATCTTCTGTGGCAATCCATTTATGTAAGCTTTGTAAATTTATGTTGCTCTTTAAGGGGGGAGAGCCATTTTTTCCCTAGGAGATCTTGTAGCCTGAGTAAGACAAAAGGCAAGGCCCTTCTTAAGGCATAGGTAAAGAGTAGGTTTTCAGATATCTGTCAACTGAGCAATATGATTTATTCATCATAAGTGTAAGGTATATTTTTAAGCAGCTATCCCTCTATGCTGGTGGCATTTTTGTGAGCAATCTGTGTACCTAATTACATTCAGACAGTGCATTCCACATTGCCTTCCAAACCATAAATCACTTTTTCATGCATTTATTCAAGTAAAAATGTTGTTGGGAAAAAAATTATTCAAGTAAAAATGTTGGCTTTATTATGTTTGCTGAAAATATATAGAAAACATGTAACATTTGTTTCACCTAGTTAAAAGGAAGCCTTTAATTTACCCAGCCTTTAGTCAGCTGATGGGGGGGGCAGTTTATGGTGTTTAGCTGTAAAGGTAATGAAGTGTACCAGAACACAAAGATTTTATTTGACTTTTATTGCTGTTGGTCAGGCTGCAAGAGGTCTTACCAACTACAGCCTTCTATGACTGAAATAAGCCAAGATGATGTTGCGAGGAATCTTCTTGCCCTCTTTGCCCTTTTGTATTCATTTTATTTTTAATTTGCTGGCAGATTCCAGAAGAACATGACTTAGAGAGCCAGGTCCGCAAAGAGAGGGAGTGGCGATTTCTGCGTAATGCTCGAGTTCGGAAGCAAGCACAGAAAATCATCCAAAAAGGTAAATGCCTCTCTTTAAAAATCTTGTACATCTCCTGCTACTTAAAATAATCGTTGCTATGAACAAGAATACCATCTGTAAATTGTCCCTCGGGTCAGTGCTGACCTCTTTCAGGGCACCTGCTCACAACAGGAAGTTATTCTGTTGCAATGGGTGACTTGCTTTTCAACTTAGATGGCCTTTTTTATTGTTGGGTGAAGCGCACATGTGCAGAGAATATGCTTGTGATCCCGTGACCTAGCTTCTGGACCTGGAAGACTAGAAAAACCAAAAACAAACCATTTTGGCTTTCAGTTGGAGGCACTAGGACTTGTGCCTTTGGCATGCATACCTAATACACCTACCATTTGACATTTCACAGACAAAAAGGGTATGTGCTTGCAGCACCATAATTCTCATTTGTGATATCTTGGCTTAACTGGCTTCCCTATTAAATACTCCTGTAGTCTTTACTCTCCCTTCTGTATCCTGTAATAATTTACTTTATATTTAAGAACTGGGAAGGTATGAGGGTTTGAGGGAGAGGCGTTCAAGAAATACTAGAAAAATATTATTGTCCTGCAGCAGAATGAACAGTTTGACATATACTCTAACAGTTGCATTACTATTTCTTTTACAAAATGTCTACCTCACCTTTCTGCCCTCAGAAGGGCCACCAAGGCAGCTAACAAATTACACATATATACTGAAATCATATTTTAAAACCAAAAACAACAACAATAACAAAAAACCAAACACAACATTGGCTATAAATTGTGATGTATTTTTAATATTTTGTACTGTTTTATATGCCTGTTAGCTGCCCTGAGCCTCCAGGGAGGGCGGGATAAAAATGTAAATAATAAATAAATTAATAAATAAAGCAATTGAAACCAGAGCTAAAATACATACAAAAACATAAAAACAACAGTTTAAACCACTGGGCAGGAAGGTTTGCGCACTTTTAGCTCTGTATATTATATCTGTGTTTCAGAACCATATCTTGGTTATATGTCTTTGTTATCTGTTAATGCATTGTGAACAAGTTTTTGTTGTAATTTTGAAAAAAAAATGTTAATTAAAATATTATTTAAAAAAAGGAAACACCAAATGAAACAAAAAAGTCTTCACCCACTGGTAGAAGATGGCAACAGGAGGAGACAGACAAACATTCCTGGGGAGAGAGTTCCAGAGATAACTGAGAGAGCCCTCTCCTGGGTTGTCACCTGCCTAATCTCAGAAGGCAGGATTACCCAAAACAGGGCCTCCAAAGATTACCATGGTAGTCATTCATAAGGACTATGAAAAGACAAGGGAGACAGCTAGAACGATGGTGGAGAAAGACTCGGAATGAATCTGACAAGGCACTTGGCTAGAGCTCACTTGAAAGCCTGTGGTGGTGATGGCAGCAAGGAAGTACTTTTCCACCACCACTGCATCTGCACATTATAGACTTGCAGAACTCTTTGGGGTGGTCAAGGGTCTCTTGGGTTATAGCCAGCAGGAAGAGGTGGGCTGCCCTGCAGTCTGCTGCAATCATTTTGCTAAGCACTTTGTGGATAAAATCTCTTGTATCTGTTCTGGCTTGGACTCTATATTAGCAGCAACAGGATCAGATGGTCCCAAAGTGTGTACTTTAAGTTAAGTTAAGCTGACCTTCAATAAAAGTAAACATAGAGGAGAAAATTGATGAATAGCAGAACTCTGAAGATCAGTTTTCTTTTTTTTTGTACTAATATTTGAATTACTATGATACACCTACTACGACTAACTGTGCTTGTATCTGTTTTGAATAAGTGATGTTAGTAGCTAATCTCCACATATTTGAAAGCTAAACAATAGGGAAACACCAAGAAATGAATGTATAGCCTGTTATATGAGCCTTGTTTACTCTGTATTTTAGTTTAGAATACCCCTCATCCTTACCCTTTGTAGTTTGTAGAGATAAAAAGAAATGAAAAAACTTTTTTTAAAAAAGATGGTCCCAAAGTGTGTGGGACTTATCAAGTTGTGTGGGATACCTTCCGCCTTATGCAGTCTGCAGATGCAGACAGAATTCTGGGAAGTTTGACACCTACCACTTGTTTATACAACCCTTGCCCCTCCTGGCTCCTTAAATCTGCGGGGGGAGGGGGACTAGAAGACTGGATCCAAGAGACAGTAAATGCCTTCCTGAGAGATGGGGTGGTCACTCCTGCCTTGAAGTGGGCAGTGGTGCATGCACTCCTACAGAAACCTACTCTGGGCCCAAGAGAGTTGAATAACTACCATCCAATGTTAAATACATCACTCTTGAGCAAGGTGATTGAATGAGTGCTGGCTGGCCAATTATAGAGATTCCTGAATGAAGCAGATTGTTTAGATCCATTCCAAAATGGTTTCAGGCCTGGTTATGGGACTGAAATGGCCTTAGTGGATGATGTGTGCCAGGAGATGGACAGAGGGAATGTGAGCCTGTTAATTCCCCTGAACCTGTTGGTCCTTTCTCAAGAACAGGTGTCAGATTCTGGTGCTGAAGGACTGCTGCTCAAGCCCCTTGGCCTTTGGCCTGTGGGGTTCCCCAAGGTTCCAGTATGTTCCCTATGTTCTTCAACATCTATCCAGAGATTTGGCCTGAGCTGCCACCAATATGCTGGTGGCCCTCAGCTCTATCTATCACTACCAGCAGATCCCATGGAGGCTGCGGAAACCATGAACAGGTGCCCAGAGGCAGTTTTGAAATGGATGAGGGCTAGCAAGCTGAAACCTAATCCTGACAAATTGACATGCTATGGGTGTAGGGAAGGTCTGACCTGGGATATGGGTTATCCCCTGTTTTGGATGGGGTTGCACTCCCCTTAAAGGAGCAGGTTCGTAGCTTGGGGGTGTTCCTGGACCCAGGCCTCCTGTTGGATAAACAGGTTGCAGCAGTGACCAGGGGTGCCTTTCAGCAGCTTTGGCTCCTAAGGGTCTTCAACATCCTCGATCATCCCCAATCGAGAAAACTGAATGCCCCTGTCTTGGTGACCTCTTCCCCAAAACCTCTTATCAGGGATTCTGTTTCACCCACACACACACCAAAAGTCATCCTTACTACAGACGCCTCACTGTCAGGTTGGGGTGTTCATGTAGACTCCTTTTCAGTCAGCAGTGTTTGCTCCACTCTCAAGAAATTGCTTCATATAAACACCTTGGAGATCAAGACAGTTTACCTAACCCTCCCTGCCCTTAGGTCAGAAGAAAATCTACATGGCAACAGACAACCTAACAGTGATGTTCTATATAAATAAACAGGGTGGCACAGCGTCATCAACTTTGTATCTCTTAACATCCAAGATATGGGGCATCCTTCACAGATCTGTGATCCAAGTGGTGCACATAGTAGGAACCACTTAGCAGACTCCTTAGGCACACTCCTTTGGCACCTCACAAGTGGGAATTGAACTATCACTTCCTCTTCTCAATTTTCCAAAAATGGGGCACACCCAGTAGAGACTTATGACAGATGCAAGCAAGAAATGTGCCTTGTTCTGTTCAAAAGCACCTTGGCAACCCCATTCACTAGGAGGTGCTTTCCAGAATCTGTGGAGAGGGGACATGTACTACATCTTTCCCCTGCTCCTACTGATTTCACAAATGTTGTACAAGATTATGGGGAAAACGCGATAGCCATGGTAACAGCTACATTCTGGTAAAAGCAAGTCTGGTTCCCCCTGCTGCTCAAGAAGTCTTGTGGCAAATACCATATCCTCCTCCCTCACCATAACCTCCTACATCATAGCCCCTTCCTGCATCCAAACATAAAGAGCCTTCATTTGAAAGTGTGGCTCATTCATTCCCCGACAATTGCTTTTAAGAACCTGTGAAACAGCACATGTGGTGGACATGTGATAAAGCTAGGGACTTTTGGACAAAGGTCCACAACGAAATGCAAAAGATTCTAAAATGTTCTTTTAAGAAATCGCCTGAAATTCTGCTCTTAGGTTTAAAAATGGAAGAACTGAATGTAACAAAAAAGACACTGTTCTGGTATTTGATAACAACGGCAAGAATGATATATGCTCAATATTGGAAGCAAGAAAAAATACCAGATCTGGAAGAATGGATACAAAAAGTTCTGTTCATGGCTGAGATGGACAAAATAACCAAAAAGTTGAACAATAAAGAGGACCAAGAATTTTTTGAAGAATGGAAGGACTTTAAGATATATTTAGAAAAGAACTGGGACGTGAGACAAAATTTACTATGTTTAGAACAATATTAAGTACTTGATGTTTTCCTGAGTTTATCTATGTGGGACATGAGGGAAGTGCATTGCGGGAAGCCTTTCGGGGGAGGGAGGGAAAAGGGAATATTCAACCAATTGATAAAAAGATGTAAAATGTGATAATAATGGAAAATAAAAAGTATTTTGACCTAAAAAAAAAGAACCTGTGAAACAGGTACTACTAGGTGCTAAAAAAAAAAAAAGGTGCTCATACTCCTCTGAATGGAAGTGCTTCTCATGGACCAATCAGAAACAGATAAAACCAATGCCATGGCCACTTGGTCAAATTTATAACTGCCTCCTATGCTTAGTCCATGGGAGTATGTCCTCATCCTATGTCAAGGTACATCTTGCAGCCATAGCCTTAGCCTCCTTCCACACACACATTGGGGGGGGGGGAATCACTCTTTGCCCAATGGGAATCCAAAGTGTTCCTTAGAGGCTTGTTAAAAGAATTCCCACCAGTCCAACTGTTGTGGGCCAGCCTGCTTTAGCTGAAGAGCACACAGCTGATGTTGATAACAGCCCCTTCAGCACCTCTGAGACTCAACCAGCTGATGCTTCCAATGACCCTGAGATGGTGGAGGGAGGTCCTAGTGCTCCAGTTGCTGAGGACAGCATGCACTCCAGCCCCATGAGCACTGGGAACATGGAAGAGGCAACTCAGAGGGGCGGCGCCTCAAAAACCCAAGATCTTGGGGAAACTTCACGGGCTGCCTCGCCTCCCCTTTCCACAGAGCCAGGGGAATGCAGGAGGGGGTGAGTGCGCTTGAAG